TATTCAGTTAAAACAGGACTGGCGATGATGTTTTGTCCTCATTGTTCTCCGGGAAGTTTGCTGAAAGTGATGTAATGTTGATGACTTTCCAAATTTAGTGATTTTGGAATCTGGTATTGTCCCAAATTCTGGATCTGGACAGCATCATAAGGTTTAAATGTGTTTATGCTCACTAGTTGTCCTAAAATAATTAACTGTTTGGTGTCTGTGGCAGCAGGAAAAGTGATTTATATTATTAAAAACAACACCTTCCCATTGCTTTCTATTGGTATCTATCATTTAGATTTTTTTCAATAAATCACTATGACAGCTTTTTTTCGCTGTAAGCCATGTCTTGTATATCTTGAGCCAAAGAGGATCCAAAGTAGAACTTGTGGGAGTTGAACTAATCTGACACGCCAGATCCTGTGGACTCGCTCAGGCTTGCTATCTACTCGTGGCCATTTTAAGAGTGAATCCTCTCGGTGCATCGTGGTTCAAATGGGAAAAGGTTTGCAAATCGTTTCGTAAAGGGGAGTTTTCTTTAATGCACTATTCAGCCTATAATTACATGACAGCATTTGGGAACATTGATCATTAGAGTCTCCCAAACAGAAAGTGAAACTACTGATACCTGAGAAAAGGTTTTAAAAGACACACGGGAAGAGTTTTGAAGTGCATTGATCCTCCTCATCCTTGATGATCCGGATAGTTTGCTTCATTTTAAAGCAGATATTGCACATAGTATTAAGGTGAGCTGCTAGTTGAAGCTGAGTCTCTGTACCAACAGTCGTCATGATCATCAGGATTAGCCAATCGGTCTGGAGTGTTTGTTTCAGGGACACGGCCGAGGATTTGAATCACTGAGACGCTCCTTAGACCTTAAACCACACTGACTCTCTCACACCTTGTTTTCTTTCAGCTTTGCTGCAGCATTAACTCCAGCGTCAGACACTAAGTGTTCAGGACATTTGGAAATGTAGTGGTTGACATGTGCGACAGGATAAGGTCAAAGGTGGCGGCCATGTTTATGTTGTCTTCTGCTCTGATGTCGGTGGCTTCTACTGTGACGTTTGTTTAGTTTGGTCTGCTGCGCAATGAACTCAGACCTGGAGGTTCAGAGCACTTGACCTAGAACGCGACTTAACGATTATTTTCATTCTGGGTTCACCAGTTGGGTCTGTAAAATGTCTGTATTAGTGGAAGAATGACATTACGATTTCCTGTAAGCTGTAAGTGACTTCTTCAGATTTATCTGACCAACATTTCAAAATATTGAGTTTATCGCGTAAAAAAGCAGCAAACCCCAACAATTGAGCAGTTGGAACAAAGAAATTTGCTCTTGAAAAATGACTTTGGAAAAAAAGGTAGTTGCTGATTCATTTTCTGACAATAGATCAAACGACTCATCATTTCAGCTCTGCTTGAGAGACTATTGCTTTTTTTGTGTGAAGCTGTATTGAGAATCCCCCTGACAAAAACTAGCATGTCCATTTTTCGAAAAGTCTGTCAACTAGTTTGATGTTTCTTTGAAGGAAAAAGAGTCTTCACTGTTCAGGCTCTTTCCTGATATGTTTTCTTGTACTAAAATAAGAAAGAACACCCACACAATCTCAGCTGTACCTCGTGTGTTTTGGCGGTGAAGCTGTAAAGAAGCCAGAGAACTGAAAAAGTTCATCAAACTATACATTGTTGTCATTTTACACCCACTACATTGCAATTTTAGTAAGACGGAGACACTCTGACTGCTAAAAAGAGCCGCCATGTTTCATGTTGCGTTGCATTTTAAACACTAACAAACTGCCAGCACAAGTAGTGCTGCCATGCTCGCATGCTGTCGTCACCGGCTGTTATTCTGTCCGCGGTAAACAAGCCGGTGAAGAGCGTCTGGTTTCCGAAAGGGACATCGTTTAAAGTGGACTGATTAGCTGGCCAATGTACACGAGTTCTACTGACCTACTGATTGTATTTGGGCCAAATAATATCATTTCATCTTCATCCACTTCTCTTACATTTTGTTTGTATCTGGCAAGTAGACGCAGCGTGAGTTAAATGTAAGAATACGATAAGTGATTCTCTGTGCAAACAACTACACAAAGAATAAAAAGCGCGCCAGCTATTGAACTGAGACAATTCCTCATTTGCCTTTTAAACAATGACTGTTCCGCTGCCTCAGCATTGGCTTTCAGTCCGTACCATCTGTTGGTGGGAGAAAGTCAATACACCATCCATCTCAAATAAGTATATCCATACATTGACTGTTGACCCTAATGAGGTTTAGTTGTAGCGCTGACCTTTACAAGCTGCCGCCATTCTTTCAGTTGAGATTCAACGGATTTGTTTTCTTCACCGGGGGATTTAGAGTACATCCACACTACTCCGATCTCCGTCCACACGGGCGTTTCAGCATCGGTTTTTCGAATTGATCTGCATCCACACGGCAACCTTCGAAAACAGATATCGCGTGACCATTAACGTACATCACGTGACCATTAACGTACACTGGGCATGCACGTGAAAACAGGAAGTAGATTGGTTGCTTAGTTTAAAAAAATACTACGTAATAAAGTAGTCTTTAATAATGAACGGTTGTGTTTGATACTTAAGATCTTCCTCTATAAACTCAGACACAGGTCGTGGAAAGTTTTAGAAGTTTTATTTTTCAGACTTAGTTACAGCGCTGCGGGTCTTTCTCTCTCTCTCTCTCACACACACATCAAATGTACTTTAAAATCAACGCTTACACGTAAACGTTTACTAGATTATGGGTCCATAAATGTGGTCAACACACGTCTCTTACTCGTTTCCTCGTTGTTGTCTGTTCTCACTCGTAGCTCTGCTGGTGGCTTAGCCATCTGTCCTACTGGATAGCATTTACTGCTAACATTGACTTCAGACGTCTGCTCCGTAGGGCTGATAATGCCGCTGGTCACGCCACTCTCTAATCGCTCCAATAACGGCTGCTTCCTCCACAGAAATGCAGACTTTTACTGCACAACAGCTGCTAGTAAAGACAACAAGGTCAGCAACGTGGACATGGCCTTAGTTCCAGTTTGATAGGACAAAGAACTGGCTGATCAATACACGATTTACAATTATTGACAGAGGGAGAGCGGCCTGCTTTGGACATCTCACCTCTTCCAGATGTGAAGTAACTTTCTCTATCAGTCTGAGCAGCTAACCTGAACTCAAACGGCTAATGGCGGGAAAAATATCGAATATGTCCAGAAGGCAAAATTGCAGGAAACCACTTTGAGAGCTTTAACAAAGTAGCTCCCTTCAAAAAAAGAAAATATTCAAATGCGCAAAACATAAGCTAATATATAAGCGTTAAATATGCACATGTGCTCAACTCAAAATAATGAATAGAAAATAAAGCTATTAACCAAAACATAGCCTGTGATGAGAATTTATAATTCACAGAAATATGGACGCCTGCAGTTCTTCACAAGAACAAGCATTAACATCAGTAGATGGGTTAAAGCCTTTGTTAAGCAAAGCCACTGAGCTGTGAGAGCTGTCCTCTGTGTTCTGCTTCTCTTGCCTTTTTGTTTTCTGTCTCTGCTTTGTTTCCCATCTACGAGTGACAGCAGCACACACCTCTCTGCTCCTGTTACACCAATACGTGACCTGTCACTGACGGGCATTTTAAACTACACTATGTCGTAACATTTCTACAAATCCAAGGATATGAGTCACTGACAGTGGATCTGACTTGTTGGCGGAGGAATATATCCGTGAGGCAGTAATTCTAGTTTCATGTCTTTGTGTTTGTGTGCAGTCATTTGCTCTTTGGTTGATGTACAGAAAACACACAGGGACTCGTGTAGGAGTGAGCGCTAAGTCTTAACACCAAAGGGCTTTTTTGCCCCTCACAGATCCATGTCAGTGATTGTGTGATCGCAGGGCAGAGCTGAAATGGCCACAGGCTCTATCGGGATCTAGTTTCTAGCTCTGCTAGCTTGACGGGCTTTTGTTCAAACTTGTGAAGTCATCCGTTTTGCATGCAGTCTTTGTTTTCTGCATGGGAGAGTTATGCTAAGACCACCCAAAAACAGCCCCAGACGAGTATGTACAATAGCATAATTATTTCTCTGCACATTGTGACACAAGCTCAGCCTACCATGGTAAAGCAGGAACTCATGACTTTAAGGTTCTGATGGTAATTTATACACCGAAACACCTGTTAAATATGGGACAATTACAGTACCGGGTCTGTTCCTCTCTGGGCCATAAAATCATACACGTGTGGTGTCTAACAATCATTAGAAATGAAACAATGAACATAATTTGGCACATTTTAGACACGTTGAATACTTAGAAATGGAATCGGCTGTCAACATAACAGTAATGAATAAGGATTTTAACAAAACTGAGAGAACTGAGGACAAACGGTAAAAAAGTTTGGTCTTCGTCTTGAAGTTCATTCCCCCTTTAAATGATCTTTAATGATCTTCCACCATCTCATGTAAACTTAGTCCATTCTTTTCCATTTTCATGCCAAATATCGGTGGATATCTGACTGCGTGTTGGTTCAGGAACATAAAGTAACAGGATTTCACGTGTTGTTACAGGATTTTGTCGGCTACCTAGTGACAGACAGCTCTATCAGTCTACATGTTGAAGTCATTGATCAGGACTAAATACATCTGTGCATCTTGGTGGACAGTGTGGGATGTCTATTCTTTTTAAGACACAGGTTTCAATAATTCTGTCCCTAACTTTAGCCACCTTTACAACCGGCATCTTTTGCATTTGTATATTCAGATTGTACCTAAATTCACAAATATTGTGTTTTTCTGGCAGATTTTTGGATTAATTCAAACATTAAATACACTTAATATGACATTCGTAGTTTGTAGTTAGTGTCTTAAATGTGTATCTCACCACATCCAGAGACGTTTTGTACGAGTTCATCACAATCCATAACCTAGAACTTGTGTTGCAAGTTTCTAAGATGGCTTCGTCGATGTAGAAATGAAGATCAAACTCAAATCTCCTTCTTTTCCTTCTCCCTGCAGGCTTGACGATGGGTTGCGTCAGGAGTAAAGAGGACAAGGGCCCGGCGCTAAAGTACCGCCCCGACAACTCCAACGCCACGCCGATCAACGCCCACCTGGGCCACTACGGGCCGGACCCCACCATGATGGGTCACTCGCCCGCCATGAAGACACACAACAACAGCTACAACAGTCACGCTGCCTCCCTCACGCCCTTTGGCGGGGCGTCTTCAATCATGACGCCGTTCGGCGGAGCGTCCACCTCCTTCACCTCGGTGGCTGTGAGCAGTCCCTTCCCCGGCGTCATCCCAGGTCAGTCTGTGGAGAGGATTTAAGGTTTCAGTGGGAGACAAAGGAAACATGCATATGTGATGTAAAAGAAAAAAAGGCTTTGAAAGTTTCTCAACTTGAATTAAATGTCCTTAATTATTTAAATAAATTCAGATAACTTTGGGTCCCCAAGAAACAGATGTAAAAGCTGTTTTATAACAGAAGACAAAATGAAAGTAAACTAATTTGCAATCCTCATAACATTTTTCATTCTGTTTTCATTACGTGTAAATCAGTGTACAACTTTAGAATAAACTCTGCTGAACATTTGTTATGCGCGGGACGTTATGAGCAGCAGATGTTATGCAAATTAGACATTTGAGACGAGTCGACCAACGAGAAACTCCAAATAGGTCTCTTATATGGGAGGCGGTGCAGCGGGCGTGGCGTCTCTGGAGCCAAAGAAAACAATTGCATGCCGTGGATTAAAGTCGAGCATACATTTTCATTTGCAGCAATACTCGTAATCAGAATGACTTTTTTTATTATGGATTTGTTGGTACATTAAATGGACTCTTGGTGGCATCAAGCGTTATCTCGTGCAATTTCAGGTGCTTAATGCAGATGTAGATTGGATGGTTAAATTATGCAGTAAATGTACACAACAAAGAATAATGTTTCCTCCTAAAGCGCACACACACATGCAAACACACACGCACACACACACATATCCCTCAGTCCCTGTCTCGCTCTCTCAAGGAGGATAATCTGGCCTGAAGGGCTGCTGTAGATCTAATTCCTCCTCAAGATAAACATTTCAGAGTCCTGTTGGCTCTCTGCACTCCGTCACTTCAGACTACAAACAAATCTACTCTTTCCATTATATATGAGAGATTAGTCCGTTTGGTTCACTGACTTGAAGGGAGGCCACAGAGTTTTGGCAAATGTGAACGGAATATCCTCTTATCCCCTCATGTGTTCTTTGAATGTATTAAAGTTAAGAGAGATGGTTGTATTTTTTTGCAGGATGTGCGACATTAAAGTAAAAAATAGTTATTAGCATCATTGTTCATCAGTTTGTTTGCTTAGCTCAAGTAAGAAATATTATAAAAGTAAGAAGGGAAGCTAATTCAAATGTTGTCGTCTTTATTTGACGGTCAAATGTTGTTTGCAGTGTTTTCATAGTGCAACATTTCAAGATCAAACGAGACTGGATTAAAGGAATCGGGACATTTTCTTTTGGTCTCTGTGGGATTAACTAACTATCGTACGTGTGCACACCTCCAACGCTCAGTTTCTCGTGCTTTCAGGTGGTGTGACTTTTTTCGTGGCGCTGTACGACTACGAAGCGAGGACGTCGGATGATCTGTCGTTCAAAAAAGGGGACCGCTTCCAGATTATCAACAACACGTGAGTCTATTTGCTTTTACACGGACGGACTCCTGCTGTGTGCATTTGTGTGTACGTGGATGTGTGTGTGTGTGTGTGTTTAATCCCTCATAGTATTCAGGTCTGATATCGGGGCAGAAATCTGTCTGGGTTAATGGGTTCGTCTAATGGGCCATCTGTTAAAGTCGCCATCGCTTTCCTCCCGCCGTAGATCATTCCTCTAGTTTAGGGTTAGAATGTAAAACATCCCGCTCTACCCTCATTTATTAGAATACAAGCAATGCACATAATACAATAGATGAATATAGTATCAACATTTACAGAATTTGTATTCAAAGACACCAACAATGCATTGATAATATGCCTGAAGTTCAAACTCACTGGGTTATTATGGAATCAGTTTTTATTTTCATTGCTCATTTTCTAATTGTTATTTGTGGGAGCCTGATCCCTAATATACAATACAATAGGTATATTGTGCACTTTATCTCTAGAACAGAATACATTTAATAACAATAATAATAATAAATAATGAAAAGGGAAATTGCTCTCTCCTCCTACGACTTACTGCAGCAGCATCGTCTTGCTCCCAGGTGGGAAAATGGGCAGAGCTCCAAATTCTCCACAGATCACGTCTTCAGCCGCTGTCCGTGAGCACGTTGAGTTTGCGGTGATGAGAATACCATCTGCTTTCAGAGAAGAGGTGGGAGGAGGAGGAGGAGGAGGAGGAGGAGGAGGAGGCGGCATTTGCTTGGTTTTTACAAAAATGCCAGCAGACAGATTTTCCCTACACCTCAGTTCCTCCTCCTCGAATTCAAGCTTCTGCTGATTAAAAACACCAGAAACTGTGGCCAGATGTGCTGATCTTATGAATGCAGTATTTTGTTTCTATAGTCTTCTATATGGTTTAGAGCAGATATCACAGTACATTAAGCACATGTAAAAGTCAGCCATTTTATTTTCACACTGTACCATGTAAAATGCTTTATAATGCGTTATAACTGTAATAAAGCATAATGAATATTTATTAGTGCGTATAAATATGATTATACAGTTCAATACACTGTTTATAATGCATCATAAGTATGTTTATGATACATTATAGACTCAGCCGTCATAGAAAGTGTTGCCAAGTAACTAAGCACATTTATTCAAGAACTGTAGTAGAGTACAACTTTGAAGTACTTTAGTGATGTATTTCCATTTTCCGCTACATTTCAGAAGGAAATATTGGACTTTTTAATTTGCTGCGTGTCTCAGACGGCTGTAGTCACTAGAAACCTTCAGATTAACATTTAATATTAAAGCACACACGACAGGCTTCTAAAGATCATAGAGCCCAAAGATCAGAGATGCGTTGATTCGTCTGTATTCACAATCTGTTCAGTTGAGACATAGTGTCAATCAAGGGCCATATTTTGATACTTTTATTCTTTTACTGAGGGTCGGGTTTGTAATGCAGGACTTGTATCACATCGTGCTATTGGTACTTTTTCCTTGAAGCATCTGAATATCTCCTCCTCCACAGCTCGACGTGGTTTAAAAACCCACAATGTGATGACGTGGTTGAATGACGCGTGTTGTGACCTTGTTCCTTTTCTCTCGTACCTGCAGTCTTATGAGTAGGTGTGTTCTTCAACCAATGCTTTTGTGAGTTTCTGATTTCTAATTTTCTTCTCTGTTCAGGGAAGGCGACTGGTGGGAGGCTCGCTCCATCAACACTGGACACAAAGGTTACATCCCCAGTAACTACGTGGCTCCAGCCGACTCCATACAGGCTGAAGAGTGAGAGCTCATTACCTCTTTCTAACTCTCTCTCTGTCTCCGTCATCCTCCAGCGTTGTTTCACTTTTATGTTTGTCCTTCACATTCCTCTGGCGTTAACCACCCGGCTCGGTTAGATCTCCTCTGATTGGGAGGACCTGATGCGGCTGGGCGGTCACGCTTTGTGACTCGCCCATCATGCACCAACACGCACAGAGTGTAAACAATGCACCTCTGTATCGCTGAGAGTCGGGGACGTTCCCATTGTTGTTCATCCGGTGTGACAGAAACTTTAAGGCACTGCTTTTAGGCAGTTTTGGTTTCTTATGAGCTGACTCATAAAAAAAAAAACCTGTGGAAACCAGCCAGCTAACTTTTCCTTTAGTCTAAAAGAGTGAATGCAAGGGATCAACAGAGTTCAGGATATTTCATTCCCTCTTAACTTAGTCTTTAAAAGAAGAAGAAGAAAAGCTAGATTCCAGATTTACAGCTCATGTTTTACTTATTTATTCAATAATGGTAGCCTTTATATGTAATGGAACCAGCTAAAGACATGTTGCTTGTAGCAAAGTTAATAACAAGCTATAATTATAGTTTCATGGTCTAAATAATTTCGACTTAAATTAGATTTTAAGCTATTTAATTTAAGCCCCAGTCAGACTTTGAAGGTAACCACAAATGAACCATGTAAAGATGACGTTTAATGTTTACTGCCCAACATCAAATGCATTTTATTTTCCTGTTCATCTGTTTCTGATGTTGAACTTGATGATTTTACAGACCGGATTCATATGATTCATATAAAACATATTGTGCCATATTCATATTGCATGAATAAGAAAATCCTAGTTGTGCAGTAGATCACTTTGAAAGCTCCTCATGTGTCTCACTACCCGACTGTCTCACTACCCGACTGTCTCACTACCCGACTGTCTC